ATGGACCGGCCGATGTCTTTCCACGCAATGGAGGCCTTAATGAGGAGAGAATTCCAGACCTTAAGGTGCAACGAAATTAAAGCTCGGACAAAGGAGAAACAGTGGACAGTGGCACTTTCCGACATACCTTGGCCAAGAATCGAAGCCGTTGCTGAGTTTAGACTACGTACTAGAGAAACAGTGGACAGTGGCACTCTCCGACATACCCGACTAGCCAAGAATCGAAGCCATTGCTGAGTTTAGACTACGTACCGACGGATTGCCTGGCAAAACACCTTCAAAGATTGGGAGTATACACAATCGAAGCCGTTACTGAGTTTAGACTACGTACCGGACACCTCAACCATCAAAACACCTTCACAGATTGAGAGTATACACTCAACCCACATACTCTATGTAACCTACAGGAGGAAATGGAGAAGTCCCACCTGTCTATGTGACCTACAGGAGGAAACGGAGAAGACCCACCATATGTAACCTACATGAGGAAATGGAGAAGACCCATCTGATCTGTAACCTACAGGAGGAAATGGAGAAGACCCACCTGATGTGAAACCTACAGGAGGAAATGGAGAAGACCCATCTGATTCTCTACAGGAGAAAATGGAGAAGACCCACCTGATTCGGTGTTCAAAGGAGGAAATGGAGAAGACCCACCTGATTCGGTGTCTAGCGATCAACCCACATGCCCTCTATGTAACCTACAGGAGGAAATCTGGCGAAGCACCTTCACAGATTAGGAGTATACAATCAAAACACCTTCACAGATTGAGAGTATACACTCAACCCACATATACTCTATGTAACCTACAGGAGGAAATGGAGAAGTCCCACCTGTCTATGTGACCTACAGGAGGAAACGGAGAAGACCCACCCCTATGTAATCTACAGGAGAAAATGGAGAAGACCCACCTGATTCGGTGTTCAAAGGAGGAAATGGAGAAGACCCACCTGATTCGGTGTCTAGCGATCAACCCACATGCCCTCTATGTAACCTACAGGAGGAAATCTGGCGAAGCACCTTCACAGATTAGGAGTATACAATCAAAACACCTTCACAGATTGAGAGTATACACTCAACCCACATATACTCTATGTAACCTACAGGAGGAAATGGAGAAGTCCCACCTGTCTATGTGACCTACAGGAGGAAACGGAGAAGACCCACCCCTATGTAACCAAGGAGGAAATGGAGAAGACCCACCTGATTCGGTGTCTAGCGATCAACCCACATGCCCTCTATGTAACCTACAGGAGGAAATCTGGCGAAGCACCTTCACAGATTAGGAGTATACAATCAAAACACCTTCACAGATTGAGAGTATACACTCAACCCACATATACTCTATGTAACCTACAGGAGGAAATGGAGAAGTCCCACCTGTCTATGTGACCTACAGGAGGAAACGGAGAAGACCCACCATATGTAACCTACATGAGGAAATGGAGAAGACCCATCTGATCATATCCAGCCCTAAAGACAAGTACGGAAAGCCAAAGATACTGGTAACAAGGACGGAAGGCCAAAGATACTGGGAAGCAAGAAGACTGCTAATGAACCGCGGAAAACCAGAGATACTGGGAAGCAAGAAGACAGCTAATGAATTGCTGTTAATAACCGCTATAAATGTACCCCCCCCCCCTCTTGGGGAAGCTGAAGTCAAAGATTAAGGCTATAAATGTACCCCCCCCCCCACCCTTGGGGGAAGATGAAGTCAAAGTTTTTCCGCTATTGATTAACTGCTATAAATGTACCCACCCTTCCTTGGGGGAAGCTGAAGTCAAAGTTAAATTGCGAATGATACCCCTCCAATGTACCCCCCACCCTTGGGGAAGCTGAAGTCAAAATTTAAGCAAGAAGACTGCTAATGAACTGCTATTAATTAACTGCTTTAAATGTACCCCCCCCCTCTTGGGGGAAGCTGAAGTCAACATATGTACCCCCCACCCTTGGGGGAAGCTGAAGTCAAAGCTATTAAGGGCTAATATGATAGATATCATAAAGCCTGCCATTTGAAATAAATGATGAGGCAGACCCCTGGGGGAAGCTGAAATCAAAGTTTAAGGGCTAATGATAAATATCATTACCCTTGGGGGAAGCTGAAGTCAAAGTTTAAGGGCTAATGATAAATATCATAAATCCTGCCATTTAAAATAAATAAATAATTATAAGTAAATTGGAAATTTATGAAGAACCATAGCACAACCGGCTGGAAAATATACTTATTGGGTAAGTTGACATCTATTTTCTTTTTGAAAAATAATCTCTTTCAATTTAATTCAACTCAACAATATAGCCACAGTGTCGACAAGCTTGCCTGACGAGTAGAACGACTTTGTCCTACCCGTCGCCATCACCATACCGTTGTTTCTTACTTGTTTGAACTGCACGCGTATGTTAAATGGGCGGGGGGTGGTGACTGAGTCAGTGAAACATCGCATTTTCAATATCCACTTCACCCAGCAACTTATTATAACCGGATAAAAAATTCAACCACTGGGAAGCAGTTGAAATTGATCGATAAGAGAGCAACTAAAATAGGAAGTGAATCGTCGAGAGAGGGAGCAAAACCAAGGTCTGAGGGGATCTTGATCCATTTGATTTTCAGTATCGAATGGAGCGATATTAACTTAATGAATATTTCATTTTCCAGCGGCATGCGCTGTCAATGATTGAGGTCCTGATAATAATTGTAGGTCTTGCCAAATAGAGTGACCTTTATTGCCATGTCTGAAAATCCAGAAAGCTCCTATTTGATGTTTAAGCGTTGACATTTTAGAGTTAGGATAACTAGAAAATTTAAATTCGCAGTTTTGGCTCTGTCTCTTCCAAAGGAGAAGTATTGGCGAGCTGAGAATAATGTCAAGAAGTACGTCAAGCAGTTGGCTGTTGCCACTGTTCAAAATTAAGTCATTTAAGGGTCTGACTGACACCACATGCCGACTATTACGAAATGATAAACCTATAAATCTTGGTCATTTTCAGGAATAAGAAAGGTATTTATACAGTGCGAATCCGAATCAAAAGCAGGGAAAGGCCCTACCACACACACACACTTGCTGTCTAGATGTTCATGTGTTTCCCTCCGACTCACTCGATCCTTCAATGTGGTTTATTCAACGCACAATGGCCTATGCAATTCTTTGTGTTTTACTTTTACTTTGAATGCTTGCGCTAGCCACTGCATTTTATCGCTCTCACCCAGGCGACCCGGGTTCAACTCCCGGTCAGGGAGCCACGGGTGTGCGATAGACTTATCTCCACGTGGTACACCCTGGG